GAGAAAAAAGCCAAAAAAGTTGCTCATAATTTTGCATACGTCTGATCTATTTTTGACCCTAGGAGTGCGCAATAGACTTACCTCCACGCCGTGCACCCTGGACAACGTATACTTATACAGCAAAAAGTCTATTGATCGGTAGTTGTCTTCTGACTTCAAACTACCATGGCCCGATTATTTGTCATACTCGACCCCTTCCACAGTACTCATCTTACCTTTTTCTCTGCCTTTGTGTCTGTCTGTCTGTCTCTTTTACATCTGTGAATCACTCTTCTGTTCCCCCTCTCAACTTTTTGTCACTTTGATGTTCCTTCACCTCTCTGCGAAGCCCCGAAGTCAGCTCCAGGGCTAAGTATAACTATCAAAACGCCTGCCATAAATTTTTAACCCTAATAAGTAAACAGCCCAGGCAAAGTAAAATAAGAGTTTATAAACATTCACTCAGATTGGCACTGCTGGTGTGCCATTATTCCAATAGCCCATTAACTCAAGTGCAGTAAAAATGAGATATTACCACTAACATCAATATACATCGAGAAAGGATGAAATAGTATGAGAATAAACCATTTGACATATCTAATGGCAGGAGTTAATTGCTATCAAGAGGTTTCACCAACTTTTGAACTAGTTGTTCGTTGCGAAGAGACTTCGGTGAGAGCCTTCCTAAATCCAAAGAGGAGGGATATATGGTTCTAACTTCATCTCCCTTGAAAGTCACAAGTTCTACAAATCTTGAAGATGAAGACTGCGAATCGGTCTCACTTGCCTTCGCTAAAATAACACGCCCACGCTGAGATGACCTCTTTTCTTTTGAGTCCCCCCTATTAAACCCTTTCGGGGGCTCGATGTCCTTTTTAGTTGGAACAATTAGAGTATACTTTCCACTTTGGGATTTGAATTGTGGTCGATAGTTCCTCATTTTAGAGTTTGGGTGACTTTTTCGTCGAACACGAATTCGAAATCGCTCCCGAGGTGGCGAAAGACTCCTGCTTCTTGCTTGACGTGGAGGTGCTGCTTTGTGGTTGTGCTTAATGCAGACAAATTCACAAGGCCCATCAGAATCAAATCCTCCAGGAGTTCGAGACTTAGACCGAGGTTTCACAGAACTTCTCTGATTTCCTCGCGGTACGTTCCCTTCCGAGTGTTGAGGTTTGGCGCATTGGATAATTATTGGAGTCAGACGGGGATGCTTTTCAACTTTTGGACCGCCAAGATTCTGAGTTGGCTGTGCTTGAGCATTCTCCGTATCGCTAGTATTCGCTTCATTCCAAGTTGAAATGAACTTCGCCAATTTTGGAAGATAACTCACTTTCCGAACTCGGAAAACCACATACATTCCATATGTGTTACGTCGAAAATGAATAAAGCAGACATCGGGGAAATTGGGCAATACAACAAGTCGAGCAATACTAGAGTATGGAATCTCTGGGAAGGAGGATCCCGCTTGACTCTTCTCGAAATGGATGCGATCACTGTAGACGAGCATTTTGTAATCCTCAAATGAACCCTCCCGCAGAGCATGCGATGCAATAGTTTGATAAACCTTCGCTCTGGGCAGTTCGGTATGCCCCTGCAGTTTCACTTTGGCCAAACCCTTGATAGTAGTCCTGAAAAACGGCTGATAACCAAGTGATATTTCCATTGCACCCAACTGTTGAAATTGGTGAGTGAAACCGCTAAACTTTAATGAAAATCCTAATGAGATGCCTATAAGCATACAAGTCAACCAAATTAACCAATCCTGTTATTTATTTTAGCGGTGATATCTGAAGCCACTTGTAAAAAATTCACCATTAAAGGAATCCAATCACAATTTTTGACACAAAATGCGTGAGCATGAGTAATCGAAATTTCGTCAAATCACCTGCACTTAAATGCGCTGACAACTTTGTATTTCACAACAAGGGTACGATTTAAGGTATAATACTATTTGATTTAATTCAATTTGTCTACGATTCTGATTACTTTAATGATTGAATCACAGATAGTGCAATGGAGAATCAACCATTAAACAACTATTGCAAACATGTACTTTGTATGTGATTGCCGATTTCAATAGTATTTGAGTGAAACTTTATTAATTAGTGTGGTTTTAAGGGCAATATTGTAATAGATTAGGCCTATGTTTAAAGCACAGTAGACGGTGTGAAACAATCTAGGAAATTTCGAATACGTCAGTGAAATCGCTCGTCCCATTCGGATGCGTACAGGAGACCTCTGAATTGACGTCAATACGCCCTGAACACTGTTAGTGATCACCTTTTGAAAAGGAAAAAAACTAGAAAAACTCAGTTTAGCTATTCGAATTTACGTGATTTCTGTCTAAAACTGAAAATATGAAAATTTTCATTGCAGATAAAGTAGCCTCAAACAATAGCCATCAACAAGATATACTAAGATTACCTCTAGGTCTTCGTGGGCATTTCTACGCACATTACACCAACCAGTTTGTTAATTTGGTCATCAGGTGAGCCTAAATAGTTACACCTGACTTGGGCAACATTCACAGCGATTAAGGTAAGCAATTACATAAAGGCAACAATTATTAAACACTACTACTAATTGCAACTAAGTAGTACTATTAGACAAAAATTGCTCATTTTTCATGTACACCGGGGGAAATAAGTGATGGCAAGGGAGAGTGCTTAATACACGGAGATGGAGATATACACAATAATAATAATAATAATAATAATAACAGCGTAAAGATACTTCGATGACAACAATAAAGGAGAGAATAGTTGTCAGACATGAAAGACATAAGGGCAACAGTGTGAGTAAAGCCCGACTGCTTTAGAGAGCTTGACTTGCAGAGGATTCAGGCATAAAAGGAGATCTCGAATTGAGTCGATGCGAGAGAGCATGATGACGCATATGGGGGTTGTGGTGAATGGGGAGTTGATGGGAGTTTGGTGCTATGTTGGATATTCCAGAGGCATTCGAAACAGGTGAATCTCCTGGACGGATATGGAAAGGTGGAGAGGGGCTTCCAACTTCCAATTCTGCCCCGTCCATGTCAACTCCGCCGGTCCCTTCTGAGAGTTCTTCTACGTCATCGATAATACCCTCACCGACGTCTCCAATTAAATTAGCGGCATCGAACACACTCAAATCACCCGCTGCTATTGAGTTAGAACAGGCCTCTATTTGCTACAAACGAATTACAAAATTTTTCAAAATGACATTTCACAACTGAAATAACTGTCATTAAAAACCGTTTTCAGATGAGAAAAGCCATTAACGAAAGTGCATTTGGCCCTCACAAGCTTCAAAAAATTAATTTGAATCAAACTGGAATAATAAGAGAGCGACCCTGCTGCTAACTTGAAAGAGTTTACGTTGCAGCAACCCATTCTATCACAAATTGAATAGAAAAAAGCATATGAACACGATGAGTGTAAGCTGGGTTGCGGTAAATAAGCCAAATTACGACGATTTGACCATTTTGCTGCTCTCGTTAGTCTGGCAAGACTTCAGACTCCTATGACAGCAGATATAGGTGTCAATATTAGCGATCTTGCCGGGACTCAGCGGACTAATCGTTGTTTGCATTACCCACAGATCAATCATAGAAGGTGAAGCGCATACTTGCTAAATTAGAATGTGCGCGGTTCCACTCTAACGGTTCGTATTTAATGAATGGAAACATCAACTATCGGGGGGCACAAGAAGAACAGTGGAAATTACTTTCAACGATGAAATCGGAAGTTTGCTGTGACAAATTGGGAGCATTGCCGAGAAGTTCCAGATGCTAATAGACACCCAAAGTGCGATTGAAGCCAATCCTAGTTCGATCATTGTGTCCAACACTGGGAGAGACTGATGTCACATTTAACAAGGAATATTTTTCCATTGCAATTTGAGCCACTCATGTAACAATAACGTGGAAGCTCAAGAAGCATCGACAATAAACCCCCAAGAGTAGAATGACCGACAACTGTGATTAAGTCTGTTAAGAAAGGCAGCACCTCAAAAATAAAGTTGCTTCAATGAAAGAAGAAATTGGCAGAGAACAAGAATCTACGATGAATGTGGAAGTTATTGCAACTACAGCTCAGTTTTATCATGCCACTCGAGGTAACTTCATCAGGTGAAGGGACAAAAGTAGTTAGCAGCTTAAAGAAGAGGCCAAAGAAGACGTGTCATCAAAATGTACTGAAAAGCATTAGAGTAGTAATGCAACTCCAGTCATTTGCAAAAAAATGGAAAAAAAATAATAAAGTATTTATACAACTTGAAAATTTAATGACTCTCCGATGAAATTCTGTAAGCGTTGTCGATACATTTACGCAAAAATGTGTCTTTAGTACCCATGCCAATGAAGCTATCCCCACAAATTCTGTGGCATTGTGATTCGATGAGAAACGAAGTGGCCAATTTTGAATACCATGGTTTCGAATCGAACATGAACTGCTAAGTCACTTCTTCAGGGGATTTGAAAAAAAAACAACATAAAATTCAAAATGAAATAACATTGACAAGTGTTCCGTTATAAAGATGACTCAAATGAGGAAGCTTTCAAATGCAGAGGACAAAATACATTAACAATTTTAATGAAGAAAAATGATCAAAATAACAACTCCAGAATAATGTAGGCAAATGTAATGCTAACGTGTATAATCTACAGGAAAAACACTGAGGGGTTTGACGACAGGTGGTTAATAAGTGTTAAAGATTTCTATAGAGGCAAAGCAGCAAATCGACAAATAGGATGTCACTGGAAGTAGATTCGATATGAATTATTCCACCAGTGCAAAATACGAAAGAGACACCCGACGTTCACCGAGTGACTGACACTGAGGAGTTTGAGATCTCCACTGGAAATAATGTTCGCCCTTGGGTTCAATCTAAATACAATGATTCAAACCTGCCATTTGGGATGCAATTTTCTTAATTAGTCGACGAAAATACTCGAGTTCAAAAGCTTTTAAGAATCCACAGGAATTCACGAATAGAAACTAGCACTCACTATTCAAAATAAAGTAACAACAATACCAGTATCTAATCACTTGTCGCCACGCTCGACAAATTGCTGTTTCAGCCAATTATGTAAGATGATAGGCTTCTGTTCCACAAAACTAAAAAAAACAAGATAGAGCTGCTGAAACACCTTCTGGCTAATGTCTCTTTACTTACTCTTGGGAAGATATTTGAGAGATTAAGGTGTGGTTACTGAGTTGCAGATCTCTTGCAGGTTACGCACCTATTTCACATGAGGTCGTCTCCTTTGCTTCGGTTTCACCAATAATAAGGAAGGTTCAAAATGTGGCATATGTTTTAATTACCTTCAAAGGGGTGCAGACAATTTTCAAAGGTGAAATGGAAGTAATTCATTGTGCAAAGTACACCTATAGTTAATGAACAAAATTAAATTAGCATTCCAGGCTAGATGTGAGAACAAAAACTGCAGCCATAATTCGATTTAAACAAACTCTGCATTGAAAACAAAAAAACTATTAGCATCATCTAAGGCAAATTAGAAGGATAAAAATTGCTAAACGTGTAGAAGTGAACAAAGGGTTCAGCTTAGGAAGAAAGAATGGATCAAATAGTGGAGAAATCAGTGCATCCGAACTTTGAATTCGAAAGATAATCTATATTTTAAAACCCTGTTTATCAATGAGAAAATACTGCAAATCCGCAGCTTTTGCAAGTAACAATAACAAGTTAAAGAGCATCCAATTAGGGCTTACAGGCCGAGTGTAGCTGAGGATGATACCCTGTTGAAAGGCAAGATTGATGCTGTCCTCTCGAAACACCAGATCAGTGATGAGATCTCTAGTAATACCAAACTTGGCGAACGGTTCCAGTATCGGCACGTCGGATAAACGCGGACAGTTGGGAGTACCCAGAAGGCTACAATATCCAGGAGGAAATAGGAAAAAAAAGATAATTAATAGTTGAATCCTTGCCAGCTGCTCTCATCCTTTCCCTCTCAGTCCACCATCGATTCGTCCCAATTGACTTAACCTCCAAATCTTGGGGAAACGAATTCTTCGTCAAAAAAACACAATTATTCAGCCCGCTGCTTTTGTCTCCGTTCTACTTTGATTGCAAAGAAGTTTGAGGAAACTTGAAAGAGCAATAACAAACACAAATTCTACTATTCTGACGTCTTGTTTCCTAAAATGCACCTCCTTTCGAATATATATATATATATATATATATATATATACGCGGCCATGCTAGAATGGTTAACAAAGAACCGAAATAAAAGATAGCTTCGCACCCAAAAATTGGCACAGTAAACAGTAATTTGTTGTCAGGAGAATTGCTGGAAAACATTCCTATAATAGAGCGTGGGCATAAATAGAAATAGGTCCCAGGGGAGGCGAAGGAGGAGAATACTGAAGAGAAGAAGAAAGTGATCCGTTGAAATAAGAAAATAGGCAAAAAGACGGTCTAATAACCAGGATTGTATTTGAAATGAACTAAAGCAATCTCCTGATGCAAGTCGAGATTTGTAATGTGAATAAAACGATAGACTACCTCCT